TTCATGTTATGCATCAAGTATAAATAGTGCAATACGAGAGTAAAATAAACAAAAAAATGAATTTGATTTATTCTGTTGTTTTTGTTTTCTATTTTAGTTTTTATTGAACTATAAAATTAGTCTTAAAAAATATATTAAAACAAATGAAAGTGATTTTCAAGCTGCTATACTCGATTTACTTGTTTAATTACTTTTAATTCGTCTTAATAATAGTTAATTAGAAGCTGATGAAATTCGTTGCATTTCTAATCGTTTCGTTTATTTTTAAATAGCATTTTGTTTATTGTATTGCTGAATTTCTTGTTATGTTATCACATGATACACTTCATTCAAAACAAGTTATTAAAATACAAGGTTTAATAAAACATTATGATTCATTATTAGCAAGTGGACATGAACCTGAAACACATAGTAGGAAGCAAAAAAAAAATTTTCGAGAAAATGAAATTATCATTAAAATTCTTTATTTAGCTTTGACAGCATTAGAACCAGTTTTATATGATTTTTTTTCTTGTTCGACTTATGCGAATAATTAAAATTCCTAAAACGTTTTATTAAATGAGAGAGTGTGAGTGTGTAGATGTAATTTTTCTCCTCGATTGAACCCACACCCATACTTCAACGAATCGATGATCTGAAAATAATCATCTTGTCGTTATGTATTTGAGTTTGAAGAAAAATTAGGCGTCTTAATTATTATAAATAAAAGTATCTTTTCATATCATGTGTATTTACTGAAAAAATAATAATAGAATTTATATTGTTATAGGATTTACGATTGTTAACAGTTATTGTTGATAGTGTTCGAAATGAAGATGATAAATGGAACCGTCTTTCACGACAAAGTGTCGATGTACTTCTTGTTCATTTACAATCTCAGGTTATTTTTCTTTTAATAGTCTCTGATTTTACGTTACTTTTTTTTGTTCAAATAGAATCAATCACTTTTGGATATTTATTCCACACAATTAACACTATTTGATGTTGCTTTTCGAGCGTTAGTAAATAGAAATGTCCGTTGTTTTTATTTATAAAATTTTTCTGTAGTTTAAAATTTTTTAGAATGTCAATTGTCAATCTATAAATTGGTAGTTAATCAATATAAATATAATATTTCGATGTCTTGTAGAAAATTTAACTGAAGATGCTATATTAACACGATAGAATGATGTTTTATTATCAGTTAATGGAATACGAGATGAAACTTTTAGTGCGTACGTATTCGAAATGATTTTATTTATAATTTAAAAACTATTATTCTCGTTTTTGTTTTCAGAGCTTTTCTTCGAATTTTACATGACGTAATATTATGAATTTTAACTACTACTCGACAATTATGTGGTCAAATCAATATGACATTAGTTTCTCTTGTATCCGATTATCTTTATGTACATATCACCCATTAATTTGAAGATAAAACATTCCTGCAATTCATTAATTACTAATGAGCTAGCGAAAAACATTTGACTTTTAAATTCCTATGCTTATATAAGATTTATGATTTTATTTTAGCTAAACAAATTTCGAACAATTGTAAATGATTTATGTCAATGATTAATTCATGATGAAACTGTACATCGTCTTGATATATTTTCATATTTAACTATTTTAAATGAGTGTTTTAAATTATTATGATCATCATTTTATATCTCATTCTTATTACAATGGATACATATTCTGAATATGCTTGATCATACACAAGAAGCATGGTGGTCACCAATATTAACACCATCATCATTAATAACACATTTATCTATAAGTAATCAATTACAATCTTATTGTGATTTAATATGTCATCATGAATTATATGTTGAACATTTTACATCAATAACAACACATTATCAATTATTATTATTATTTTTTATTGAACAAAGTGATACATGCACATATGTACATAATTTATCTGGTGTTATACATCATACATCAGTTGCAAGTCATTTATTCGTTTGTGAAGGAATACATTTATATGAAAGTGGTCTTATATTAGTTTTATTAATTGAACAATTTCTTCCATTACCATTAAATAAACAATTATTACCTAAATATTTACCATTAATTTTATAAATATTATCAATAACAATATCAATCGATATTATTACAGAAGATTTTAATAATCTTAATTGTCATATGAATATAACAAGAAAAATTTATGAACAAATGTTTAAAAATATAACTTATAAAAACTGATTACCATTTATGATGTCACCGGTATATTTTAGTTTAATTTATCGAAATAAATAAATATATATGTATAATAAAAATTTTAATCCAATTAAAAGAAATTTTTGTTTTTTACTTTGACATTGTTTATGTGCTAGTAATAGATGAGACTTTTGAATAATTCAAAATTTCGAAACATATTTTGAAATAGAAAATATGCAGAATTTCAGGTAATACAAATCATAAAGGAAAGCATTTAGGCTACATTAGTAAAATTCTGAGTCGTGCTATTTGTAATGTTACAACTAAAGAAAACGACATCTTTCTAATATTATGAAATGACTAATGAAGAAAATAATCATAAATAGTTTTAAAGATATCTCGTAAGATGTTTTCGATTGTGTGGGTGTGGGGTTTGTGTGGGGTGGGTGTGGGGTGGGTGTGGGGTGGGTGTGGGTGGGTGTGGATAAAGGGTGTGGGTGTGGGTGTGGGTGTGGTGTGGGTGTGGGTGTGGTGTGGGTGTGTGAGCGTGGGTGTGGGTGTGGGTGGCTGTGTGGGTGGGTGGGGTTTGGTGGAGTGTGGGTGTGGGTTTTCAGAGAATCCGAACCACCTATACCCACACCCACACCCAATACCCACACCCACACCCAATACCCACACCCACACCCAATACCCACACCCACACCCAATACCCACACCTAACACCCACACCCAACACCCACACCCAACACCCAAAAGTGAACTATATATAGGACTCGTATTGATATTTTTAGTCTTTATTTTTCATTTTCATCATCGTTAACTAATAGAACAAAAGTCTCATGTAATGACTACTTCAACTTCGAAACACTCTTATGATCACAGAAGGTACAACTAAATTTCCTTTAATGGATTCGAGCATGTTTATTCCAGTTACTCATAAATAATTATCATAAGATTCCTAAATAGAACTTAACATTTGCCAGACAAATATTGATTAAGAATATGTTCGAATGAATGTGGCTTAAAGAAGAAAGTCACCTTTAAACTTGATACTGATCATATGAAGGTAAGCACGTGTAATTGAACAGTGTTTTCCTTCACATGAATATCTAAAACAATCGTTGTGTATATAGGTAATCAGATGCACAAAATTTACTACGGATGAGTGAATATTCAACTGCGTTGTACACTGAGAGAAAAGAAAACTTTTTCTTATTGTTCTTAAACAAAAATAGTAACTGAATCAAATATAAAAACAATGTGCACATGGTAGATTTTATACTATTGTTAGTTTTATTTTCAATCAATATATCTGCTGAAGTATTTTTCATTCATTTTTTTCACGGTAATACGAGGTGGTTTTAGATTGATTCTAGATTTCATCTTAACATTTCGTGTAGCAATCATTGTATCTTTCTAGATTTGTTTTAAGGGGGACCCCTCCCCATCTTATCGACAAATTTTTTTATTTTTCCATGAAATTCAACCAATTTATCAGAGAATGTTAATCTTGGTTAGAGTAGATTACGGTTATAATTTCGCCCAAAATCTCCGAAGCATTCATGAGTTATGGTCAATTTACTAGTGAAAAAGATACTCTTTACGCGGAAAAGGTTTTCATGGTCAAAACTTCAGCTAAGCAGGTCGGGGTGGTTTTCAAATTGTAGAGTACACTTAGGGCTAGATTCTCATAGAGCCCGATTTTTTAATTTTTCTTTGTTCGCTTTCAAAACAAAAACGTTTCCAAAAACTTCGCAAATTAGTGGTCAAAAATCACTAACGAAAATCGAAGATCTAATTTTCTATTTAAACAAAGGGCAAATTCAAATATCCGGCTCTATGAGGGTCTAGCCTAACATGTCTCCTATATAACAAAACAACAATAACAACTTTATGTCGAATCGTTATGGTGTAAGATTTTCTCGCGTAAACGGTATACTCGAAAAACCTGATTTTGAGAAAAACGAAAAATAAGCATTAGAAATTGATTTTTTCCGAAAATCACCTGATTTATATATCAACGTTCAAGACAGGCTATAAATTTGTGATCTTAATATTAAGTATTCATAGTCTCTTAGTAATTAGTATAGAAAAAAAACTGCACGAAACACTGATGCAAAAAGAAAGCAGCCGAAAAAGTCGAAAAAGCTTACAAAAAAATCCTGAAAATTTCTCGAAAAATATGATAGTAGGAGCCAAGTTTTAGACAATAAGTTCATCAAGAACAATTCATTTTTTGATAAACCATAGATATTCTGAAAGAGAAGACTTCGGTACATCTTCCGTTGACAAAACTTCAATTTCGACTTGTCTCCGAAAAAATGGATTTTCTGAGGGGGGCCTTAAAACAAACACTTGAATACTTTCTCATTTAACAGTAAAACGAAATTGTTTATATATTCTTATCTGAAAAAGAAATACATAATAGATGCATGTGATGATTAATATTTTTATTTACTTAAAGTATTAATAATTCATTGTCTTCTATCTGATATTATTTCAAATTATTTGACAACTTTTTAAAAGAGCCTTTGGTAAAAGAGACAGTCAAAAAATGAACTAGATGTATGCTCAATCTTTGATGTTTTCTGCTAAGCTTTCTCCAAAGACAAGGTTGAACTATAAAAAGTAAAACAACTTTTTTTTCCATGAGGAAGATTGATAAATAGATAATTTCAATTGCGAGTTGTCTCTCGCATGTTTTTCCGTAATGTAAATGTTCAGTTTTTGTGCTAAATAAAACCTCTTGATCGCCTCTTCTAGCAGTCTTCGTGTACATAGAAATAATGTTATTATTCATTTTATCAATTCATGAAAAATTTTGTTTGACTTGAAGAGCAAATGTAAGAGATGAGAAAAAACAATGTATTTCTTTGAAAAGAACTGATAGCGTTCAAATAAAATACTGGTTTAGATAGCAAATAAGATTTTTTTTTTCGCTATCATGCTCATCAAAATACATGTGTTTTTTATTTTTGAAGTGCAAGTCAAATCATACAATTATTGTCTGCATACATTTCAACGTATACTATTGTTATTTTTTACACCATAACATTCTCAAAGATATTCACGTTAATTGAAGAAATTCGAATAAATCCGATGGTTATCTTAGTTTTTGACTGCTTGTACCTTTAGAATCGTCTAGAAATGTCGTCATCAGACGAAAAAAAAGTATTCAGAGAAAATGATATGACTAATATTACTATAAATGAAAAAATATTAGAAAACTAATTGTGAACTTCGAAATGTTTAAAAAAAAACACTTGAAAGTTTTGTTAAGAACATATAACTTAATCAAAAATTTCAAATTAGTTTAGAAATTGTAATATTTATATCGTTCGTTTTTTGCTACATTCTAATTATGATTCAAACGTACTTTTATCTCTTATAAAATACTACATTTCTATAATAAATTTTCAAAACTTTATTCTTGAGAAAAGTTTTTCTAGAAATCACTTGTTTTTTTCTCTAATTATGTTCTTGGTTGGCTATTACAAAAATCTTCTTGTTTAACACATCAAAATGAGCTATCTAAGATATTAATAATTTATTTATTTGTTTTGAAAAGTCTTTGAAAAAGAATGTGTGAATATTTGGATAAGTATTAAGTATGTTAAGTTTGAAAAAGAAATTGAAGTAGAACTTTATAGTAGAAACAATTGAAAGGTTGTGAGTGTATGTAGCCTTGTTCCTCTTATATAATGATGCAGACCCATATCCACACCCCAAGATAGTTATTTGCTTGTTCGGGTTTTCTTCTTCCATAATACCCATTGAAAGATGCGTATTTTCGATAATTTCGTTGTTTGAAACTCTTTCATATAATTGGTTGATGGTAATACATAGATGATGAAACCGAGTAATTGAGGTGCAAAAGATAGAAAATATGCGATTAGTAACACATGTTGTTGCCATGTAACTAGCTCACGACATGCAAAACTAAACGAAAAAATAACTTGTGGTAAACCACTTAGTACAATAACAGATGGTGGAATGTACAATTCTTTTTGACGTCGAAATTGTCGTTTCAGATATTCGATAAATGTATCACGACTGTTACCAATACGAGAACGATTTCGTGCAGCCAAAATGAGTAAAATTGTTATGGACAATATTTGAATACAGAATGGAATCAAGTAATGAAATAGAACAGTAATACGATCATATGTTCGTATTCGAATAGGAAAATCAATAACGCATAATGTTCGTTCATTTTGATCCGTCAGTTTCATGTAAAAGATCAGTTCATGAATATGCATTATACCAACGATTAATAGCGTTGCTAAACTGATTATTCGAGCGACAGAGGATTTTTTAAGAACAATAGCGAATGGAAATAATAAATAGGAGACTCTTTCAATAGCAATCAAACTTGTCAACCAAAATGAACATCGAATGGATACAGACAACATGTAAGACGTTATCTTACAGGAAATATCATTCATTAATGAATGGAACAGAATGATAAATAGTTTCATAATCAATGAAAATAATGAGTATTGGTTAATGATTAAAACCAAGAGAATATAAATTCCTATACTTGATTTTCGTAGTTTTGGTCGTTTGAAAGTAACCATACCTGCATAATTGGTTATACAACCAATGATAAAGATTAGAAGTGCAAATATGAAGTACATGATTTGAATAGTAAGATTGACTTGACTAATCAATAAATCGAGTGTAAAACTAATACCTTCGATATTAAACTGACATGAACTACCATAGTAACATTGTGGACATAGACACAAAAATTTTGCTCGCATGTGATCTTCTTTTAAACATAGACCACCAGCAAGACAAGAAGAACATTGATCAAGACTATGATCATAACCAAAACATTCTGTTCGATTATGATTTTCAGCACAAATACATAAATATGATTCGTCTATGAAACAGAATAAACTGGAATTTTGAATACATAAATAATGATATTTGAATGGATTGATTTCTTAACAAAGAAATAGACATGAACAAGTGTTCTTTTCTAATAGATAGTTTCTTAAAATACCTGCTTTCGTTGGAAATAATGTTTGAACATGTGGACAATGTGTTTTTTCACTCACTTCTGTTGTTCCATTGATTGATTCACCATCGATTCGAATTGAAATTAAATATATGTTGCTTTGCATATTCGAATATAATTTCACAACAATAAGTTTTGTTGTGATTTGTTCACCAAAAAGGTAATGTAAGAAGTTAGGAAGATGAACATCAACACGTTGATGAACTAAGAGAAGATCGAGAGAAACGAAGTTGATATCGAAATATTGTACAGCGGTAGCTTGATGGGGAGGATTTCTCGTTATGTAAAGACGAATGGCTCGTTTTTCTAACTGACATCGATATCCATAATGATACTCATCACACAAGCAGATGAATTCTTGTGGTTTTGTTGTTGAAAGACACGTTCCATGGTTTCGACAGGGATTTGAATGACATTTGTCATACATCAAATCACATCGGTAACCAATTTCATACAACGAACAAAGACAATACGGTTGTTCATTGCTACTTAATAAACCTCTATAATTGGGCTTACATAAAGACTTACATGAACAAAAATCTTGTTCACACATTTTGTCCAGTATAGAACAATTATGTCCTTTGTAATTAGGACGACAAAGACATATATAAGTTGCATTTTGATTGAGAATTTGATGACATTCTTGATATGGATTGCAAGGATTACTATGACATGGATTTGTGGTAGTATCTGGTTTGATCAGATGAAGTACTTTGACTAGACGAAATGATGGAAGAAAATCAAAATGGACAGGATACAACCATACTGCTACAAGTCGAGCTTTTTCAAACGAACTTAGTTCATAAACTTCGATACGCACCGAATATGGGTGTTGATTAAGAATATCCGATCGATTGAAATACCGTGTTCGCTTATGATATAATGATACATTTGATCGAGAATATAACAAATGAATAAGATTTTTTCGAGGAAAGTTTATTGCGTCTTTGAGTTGTATTTGAAATGATTCCGTCATTAGAGGTTGATTTTCATTCAAAAAAATAACTAATAATTTAAGCATCGTGTTCGAATGAGTTGTTTGTGCATAGATTGATTGAGATAGATTGAGATAAAATTGAAAAATGAGTCGATCATTATGAAATTGACATTTATCACCGTAATACTGTGGTGGACAAAAACACGCAATCTGTCCATTGTACAAGTAAACACCTACACCACGGTTACAGTAGTATGGTATAGATGGATTAACTTGACTGGAAAAATGAATGGCTAGCAATCGGTTTTTTATAATTAAATTAGACTTATTAGTTGTTTTATCCATATTCGTATTGATGGGAAATTGTGGTAGTCGTAATTTCTGTTTTGTTGTTTTTATAGATAATTCTTTGTTCAGTCGGTAATTTTGATAGAAAGGGATAGGAACTAAACGCTTTCGGTCAATACACAGCAACTCATCTTCTCCATGCGAACAATCTAAGTGCATATCACACCAACCGTTTCTCATACATTCTCCATTTAAACACATGAAGTCCAACTTTCCTGAGCAGTTAATTGATTGTTTATATCCATAACATTGAACACGATTGTCATCACATTGACCTGAACACTGAGGCCAATAAGGTATACATTCTGCAGCTGAGGAACACTCGAAACAGTATCCGAGCATATATGATAAAAGATAATACCTTCGATTATTACGTTCATCTATAGCTCCAGCACAGTCAATATAACCGTCTCCAATGCGATATAGATCAATACAGGGTCGGTTTTGTGTTATATTTAACGGATCCAACACATTGGCTCGAAAACATGGATATTCTACAGTCAGATTACAAAGATTCCAAAATGGTTGACTCTTGTACAAAGTATTAAACTTCTCTACTAATTTTCCAAGATTGACAAAAGCTAAATTACGGGCGGTTAAGTCATCCATATAAAAGAGTAATCCTTGCTCATCCGACGCATCAACACAGTCCCATTCTTCGTCCAATACCCATTCTAGATTGATACATTGTCCTGAATGGCATTGCCATTGATTTTCCGCACATCTCCACCACGTCTGACATAGTTCAATATCTTCGTCTTTTGCTGAATTCCAATTCCAGAATGTGTCGCAAAGGGCACGAAACGGAGTTTTTGTTAATTGAAGTTGTCGATCAGAACTATTTTTCGTCCCAAGCTTTCCTGATTCGTCCACGTATCGACGAATAAATTCACAATCCTTCTGTGATTCACTATTGCACTTGAGTTCCGACAGTGCGATTCCTTTTTCGATCAATCGTTCGTCACTCTCATCTTCACAATCATGTCTTCCATCACCGAGTTTCTGTACAGGCAAACAGCTGGGCTGTTCATCTGAACATTGAAATCGATGACGTCGAATGTTCGAACAAGAATTGGAAAATTGTCTATATTGATATTCGTCCTCGTTGTTAGAACAGTCTGAATATCCATCTTGAATTCGATAAGCTGAAATACAGTCTTTTGACCGGATGCATACGTCAATAAAATTATACGAACGATTGTTGAAAGTTTGAGAATTATTGTAACAAAATCTGTCATCATCATTTACCACCGATGAAAATATATTCAATATCGAAGCACATGGAGGCACCCTCAGATGATTAAGATTGTGAGAAGATGGGTACCTTAGTATCTCTTGTCGATGAGCCATATATCCCAGACATTTAGTAGACTCATTCACAACGATTACATCAGGCATTTTCTCTGACCAATCTCGCGTAATTGGATGATAATAAAAGGTGTAGCGTGCCATAACCACACCATTAGGATATTGCATAATGAAAGAACAAGGATTCTCCAATTCATCTATGCAAGATAAATCTCCTCCACAAGGACAGTTTTTTTCTCCTCCTCGTGAAAGAGCACATTTGATGAAATAGACACATTCTTCTGAGTCAGTACGATGGTTTTCGAGAACTTCCTCATACTCAGAAGATTCATAACATTTCCCATTAGGTAACGTCCATAGACTTTGGTCATCGAATAGTTCACACATATGATAATATTCACGAAAACTCTTGCATTCCACATAAGGAAAGATGTCACGTTCATGTTGTACACACTGTCCATCACCACACGACCAGTAAGATCGAAGACATATTCGATCATCACATTCATAACTCACGGGATGAAATATACATTTCGTATCATTAAATTGTTCTTTTTCATCTGTTAAATCTAAGCAATCATATGTTCCATCAAGAAAATATTCCTCAGGAATACATATTCCATTCATACATCGATATTCATCATCTTCACATTCATTAAATTCAAGTGTATCGCAATTTTCTTCATCATAACCGAACATACATTGTTGCACGCCATCACAAATATCTCGCCAATCGAGACACAAAAGACCGTAGTCACAGATCAATGTTGTATAGCATACGATATCACTGTACTTCTGCATTTCCCATAGATTGTTTCTTCTCATCATTATTTCCCAAAGCATAGTTTCGGGAAATGTTGCTTCCATCGGTAATAAATATTCACAATATTTTCCGAATGATTGTGGATGTGTGCATTCACATAGGTAGTTGTCTTCGGTGTCGATGCTTTCGTTCAATAGCCGTCGCATTTTGTAGCGAGAATATTCTTCAGCCTTCTCAATGCTTGAATTCCATTGATGTAATACAGTGTTGACACTTATATTCTTCAACAGCAGTGATTCGAATGAATGAGATATACCTTCATGATAGCATTGCCAGATCGATTCATATCGTTGTAAGGCAATGGGTCCAGATGGACGACGACAATAAGAAATGTCAGTATCTTTTATGCAATCGTAGAATTCCACGAACAAACTGTCATGGGTATCGTAGAGATACAGACTATTTCCGACAGATAGTAGAGTTGAGAAGAAAACTATTGCTTGTGTGAACATTTATCACACAAATTGACAACTACTGTCGAATGAGTTTTCTTTACAAATGATTTCTATGATCACAATGAACATGTATGCGATATCTCTCTCTATTTTAGTGTAATCTGAGCTAAATTAAATTATGAAAACTAATTATCGGCACGTTTCTATCTCTTCAATGATAATGATTGACTTGTTCGCTACAGGCACGTACATTAATCCTGTCAGTATTTCCGTTACTGATGGAAAAAAATGAAACTTTTCCTTTCAGCTCGACTTGCTTTTTATTCTTTCGTTCAGCTGTCGTCGAATACGGTAAGTAAACGTAGTCTTGAGGATGTGGGTGGGTACAGTGTGGCTATGGGTGGAGGTGGAAGTGTGCATGCCTGGGTGTGGCTATGGCTGTTCATTTTCTTCATATCTATACCCACACCCACCCTCAGGCTACATGTGGCTCAAGTCTCACCTGAACTTGACGCATGTAGGCTTAGCTTTCCTTAATTATGAATTCGATATTTATTCGTATGAAGCTTTAGACTTATTCCATCAGATGAATATTATTTTAGTGCAAAAATTCCAACTTCTAATATGTTTATTGATTATAAGTGACAGAACTACTAGACTTGAAGAACATGTGCTTCATCTAAATTGGGTAATACTAGACTCAGCTTCACCTGAATTAGAAGTATAAATGATGGAATTGGTAGGATTGAACGACTTAAGCTCCATCTGGTTTTGAAACGTTCCACCGCCCCTCAGTATGACTTTACTAAGCCATAGAAACCAGTAATTTTTTTTTATCTTTTACGATTATTTGATAGTGTTATGGAACAGAATCACTAACATATAAGATTCTAACATGCTCTTCTGTTAAACACCTCCTTGAGGGTGTGGGTGTGGGTGGGTGTGGGTGTGGAGTGTGGGTGTAGGTGTGGGTGTGGGTGTGGCTACTCTTTATCCACACCCACACCTACACCCATACCCGCACCCTCACCCACCCACACCCACACCCACACCCCAGCCACCCACCCACACCCACACCCACACCCACACACCCACGCCACACCCACACCCACGCCACACCCACACCCACCC